TATTTCCCTTGCCATGTTATTGTTACGAAAAAAAAAATATTTTTTAGGTTTTCCACACAAAAATGGTGTACAAATTAATTTTTTGTTCTTGTGTAGTTCATGTGTATTCATGAATTTTGGTACATAGACGTAAAAGCAAATTCCGAAAAAAAATCTCTTTTAAATTTTTATATACAGGGTGTTCCAATATTCCGTGGAAACAGAACTACTACATAATATTGGAATCAACATCTACATAATATTCGACTAGTGATGTGTCGGTATTTGAGTAATGCGATTTTGGAGCGGTATTTTTTTGTAACGCCATGTCGCGCTCTGTCTCCACAACGAATGGGGAACCTATTACTCTTGAAGTTAGCTTGAACCGTAGAAACCGCATAGCGACGTCTTTAGCTCCAGCCGTCACGATTTCGTCGGTCGCCTACAATAGTTACTGGAACTGTACGAAGCGTCGGGCGATCTCGATGGCGACGGCGACGTGTTCGGTCCAGCCGTCGCGCTCCTAGAGTTGTAGTTCCCTGTCGCGTAACTGCTGTAACTGGGCATCGACGCTAGACGACACTAAAACTCACGAAAACCTCGGAAGCATTCGGATCCTACACGGAGAGTTCGGCTTTGTTCAGCGAGAAGCGCTTTGCGGGAATTTTGAACATTATGAATAATCGAGAATCGAACAATAATCACAGACAATAATTTTATTATGCGAAATTGCTAACAGTAGTTGACTGTTTTGGTTGTTCATTTTGTTTTTATAGTTTTGACTATTTTTAGAAATATGGTTATATTTAAAAACTGATCTGCATTCATATATTTTTAAAACATACAAGTATCATTAAAGTTACGAAATGTAATTTGTCATTATTTGCTCATTTTAAAGAAGGAAGGTGGTTAATGTATTTGGCTTGTATTTGGTAATACACCTATATTGCCTACATCAAGTGATTTTAGTCAAAGTTGCATTGATTATTGGTGTAAATTAAAAATTGTTTCATTTGCAGATTGCATGATCACTATCTAATTTGATGCATAAGTGAGAACCATAGCTTTACTTGGAGAGAGCTAAAATATCAGTTCTTAAATTGAATCACATTTTCATGGGGGAAATAAACGTTTTGGGACAATTTGTTAGCTTAATTACAGTAACATATTAGAAATAAAAAAAACAAATTTATAGTTCTAATTTTATTAGAATGTTGCAGTTTTGGATTACGGCCTATCCTATAAGAAGAAACTGCAAGAAACTTATGGCTGTGCTATGTCAAGAAAATACAATAATTACAACAATACAATACAATAATTTTAACAATAAACAATACCACATTGTACAGGTTAGTAGTACAAAATAAATATAAAACCCTTAACCAACAGTCAATACATATTTACTTAAGTAAGACCAAAAACAAAATAAATAAATTCTGTTTTTCATACCACAGTTTATAACTTTCCTTTGTAGCAAAGTCATAGGCAAAGTTATGTGTTTCCATTTCCAATTTTACTTCATGGTGTTTACCTTCAAATGTTGTTGCAATATACTGCAACTTCCACAAACTATATACAGACTACCATATTTAGAGTACACAGTGGGCAAATAATACGTTTCTTTTTATTATAGTGTTTTTCACAAAATTAAGCGAAACAACACAAATTAAAAATAATCCTATCTGTAATATTAATTATCAAAGTTCTATGAATCGCTGGATCCCCAAAACGCATTCACAAATGTAAATCTTTAAATGCTTTTAGTATTTTTTGTATTATTTAAAAATACAGGAATGCTGTTGAGTTTTTAACTTTGTTTTTAAATAGGGCCATATTTATTCTGATATTTATAAAAGTGCCGTTGTTTACAAAGTCCATCAGCGGCAAAGTTCAGCTGTGGTTCAGCTGAGTTTGACGTAGACCGCGGTTGCGCGGTTCAGCTTCCGAGTATTTTGTCCTTAGAGAAGGAAAGAGAGACTCTCTTTCCTTGTCTAGGGTATCGTGAGTTTTAGTGTCGTCTATCGACGCTCGACCTCGGCGGCGCGGCTGCCTATTTCGCTCCAGCCGTCACGCTCCTAGAGTTTTAGTTCCCTGTCGCGAACAGAAGTAACTGCTGTAACTGGCTATCGACGCTCGACCTCGGAGGCGGCTTACTTCGTTCCAGCAGTCGCTGGAGCGCTTCTAGGGTTTCGTTTTCGCCTGTAGCGATTGGGTCGGTTACTATTGGCGTTAGTGTTCCCGTCGCTACGTTACTTTTGAAATAGCGATTTTTGGTATGTACTAAGCATGGTATAAAATAGCGTTGTTTGAAAGATGAAACGTAAAAGCAAATAAAATAAAATTAAAATTTTGTTTGCTTTTATACACTTATATAAGTTTTATTGTTTATATCTATTTTTAAGGTACCGAAACCGGTCACCAATAAAGAATTTTTTTGACAGTGGTTTTTGGGACTAGGTAGGTAGTATAAAATAAAAGTAGGTACCAATGCCAGAAATACTACATAAGCGAGGAACGCGACACTTAGAAAGTTGGAACCTCGATTACAAAATCGCGGTATTTTGTCGCGGTATATTTCTGGAACGGTCGCTATTGTAACGCGCCTCATGTGGAACCGGTATTCCCATCACTACATTCGACACAATTTACCTCTATACAAAAGTGCTTTGTTTTTCCGCTAGAGGGCATCAAACTTTAAAAATATAAATACATTTTTTAAGATATTTTAAGAACCGTTATTCCGATTTGAATGACATGTGGAGTGCCTATGTTTTGCTAAGCGCTTTAAAATTTGACTTTAACAAAAAACAAAAAATACGGCCAGGATGAAAATTATCCCCACCCCTATATAGCAAATACCCCTAAATAGCCAACTATAGCTTGGTGTGCCAAAAAGTATTTTTTATAAGTCAGCTTCGGAAAAACATTTTTTTCTCAAAAAGTACGCGCGATGGCGATTTTTTACAAGAGACAAAAAAATGTAGTAAATACTAGCAGGACCATTTTACGAAAAATCAGTCGTCGGTGGAATTTCTACTAAAATTTATGTAGGGGCGGTGGTAGTTTTTACCCTACCCATACTTTTTCTTGATTTTTTGTGAAAATCAAACGTTAAAACGCTTAGCAAAATATAGGCACCCCAAATCTCATTCAAATCGGAATAACAGTTCTTAAAATATCTTAAAAAATGTTTTTATTTTTTTAAAGTTTGCTGCCCTCTAACGGACAAACGAAGCACTTTTGTATAGAAGTAAATTGTGTCCAATGAACTTATTTTGATCTCAAAAATACGTAGTAGCTTTATGTCCAGAGAATAATAGGACACCCTGTATATTGGGACACCTTGTATTTTTGCGAACTTTTTGACATACTCTGTATAACCGTGAGTGTTAATGAGGCTAATAAAAAAATATAAGACATTTATAAATCATAAATATAAACGTATACAGGGTGAGTTTCTCTATGGGTATCTCGGAAATTGCTGAGAGAGTCGGTTAAATGGGGAAAGAATTGCAGTTTTGTGGGGTCTTTTGGTGTGGTTTTGGGGGAAAGGGTGGAAATTTTGGCTATTTTAAAAATTGTCCCAAATTCCATTAGAATCTATTTTAGACAAAAAGTTTTCAGATAAAAGTTGCAGATATCACATCCCGAATGAGTTTGTGTTCTCCGATTTTTTCTAAAGCCTGTCCTGACATATGACATATAACTTGACATATGACACTAACATATATGTTTTTTAAATGGAAATCATAGTTGGGCATGACTTCATAAAAAGCGCCATTTTTAAGCTTTTCAGCGATATAAGCTATATGTTTTTTTTTAATTACTGAAATATAGCCAATTCTTATTTTTCTTGACTAATTTCACTTAGTTGGCATGGTATGATTTATAACTTATAAAAAGACAGAATATTATTAAACTGTTCTTTACAATTTACAGTACACAAACTAAAACTTAAAAAAATAATATCACTGCACTTATTTTAGAAAATGTTTAAAAAATCCGCCATTGTTTTGAGTACATAAATGCATCTTTTTAAAACTGAATTACTACTTATTCTCACAGAACGACCGGTCGACTTATATTAACTTCTCCCGTACCGCCTCTTCGAGTGTCTCTCTTAATTCATTCGTTCTTTTGTAAACCTTGTTAACCATACCGCATAAAAAAATCTAAAATGGATAGGTCCGGTGATCGGGGAAACCCATGCAATTGGTCCACCTCTTATCCTATCCCTGAGTTTGCATAATTTTTAACATTTCTTTCATTGTGGGGGGGGGGGATGTCATAATGAAAGTCATGTTGGAACCACTCTATTGATGCGCGAGTGTCTAAATTTAACTTTTCTAACGTGTCTTTGAAAATCATTCTCTAAAAACGTAAGTAACGTTCACCGGTCAACGTATCCTCGAAAATGTATGGCCAAGAAAAGTTGAGCCAATAATCCTACGCGCTTTTCTTTATTTGCAAAATTCATATTTACAATTTTTGTTTATTTTAATATATAAACTTTGGATGTGACAGTTTCACATTTCAAAAACATATTATATTTTATATCGTTGAAAAGCTTAAAAATGGCGCTTTTTATGAAGTCATAGCCAACTATGGTTTCCATTTAAAAAAACATGTTTATCTCGTATGTCAAAAATGACAACTTTAGAAAAAAACGGAGGACACAATCTTATTAAAGATATGATTATCTACAACTTTTATATGAAAACTTTTTGTCTAAAATAGATTATAATGGAATTAGGGACAATTTTTAAAATAGCCGAAATTTGTTTTTTTCGAAATATCTAGTAAGCCATGAAATTTTTCAAGAATCTGAAAGGCGCATATTTATGACCCCACAAAACTGCAATTCTTTCCTCATTTAACCGACTCTCTATCTCCAGTAGATTCCGAGATACCCATAGAGAACGTCGTAGAAAACTCACCCTATATATATATAAACATATGTATAATTCTCTAATTACGTATTTGAAATAACGACCAGTCTATATTTGGATTGTTCTAATAATTAATATTTAACTTAATACATGGTATAATATATAAACATAAATGTAAAAAATTACGTGATATAGTCTCAAATCGGTTTTGGACCTGGGTCCGTGTTATGTATCTGAACAGGCTGACTAGAAGTGACGGTACCATAGTTCACTACAAAGTCGTCGTATTCGCTTTGATAAAAACTTGCCGGAACACTCTGTCCTCCTCTGGGCGATACCAAGTTGGAGAATTCGTCGGTTCCTCTAGGTATGCTGTACATACTCCTTCCCCTAATTCGGCGACTGATGGAGGAACCTATAAATAGTTCATAGTTAAAGAGGTGACTGGGTTTGAAATCAAACTATGTATACTGGCTTGGCCAATCTCAATCCATGGTCTGTATTTTAATGAGTAAGACAAAGATGAAGATACCTAATTTACGTTAAAGCGGAGATTGTCTTGAGCCGAGTGCCATAATGTAACGCTTGTTTGCTGCTCGCGACGAGCGTTTCGTTCGGAGCCGAAATACGAAAATCTCATTTCGAATGCTCAGCTCGTTATGTTCCAGTATTTTTATCAGTCCTTAAAAAGGTCAGATATACAAGGTGTTTCAAAAAGCATGTGCCAACTCTCGTGGGGAGGTTCCTCATGTAAAAATAAGATTTATTTTTCATATCAACATAAGTCACAGCATAGGTCCGATGTTTCGTTTCGTAGCTAGGGGGTTAAAGTCTTCATTTTTTGCCAATTTACTATAAATTCCTTCCAAACGTTTTTTGCGATTCGAATGAAATTTTGCAGGTAAAAGTTCAACGTGTGTATGAAAGTTAGTGGTAGTTTTTTCAGAAGAATATTTAAGTGGCAACACATACGGACATCCCTGGTGAATATGTTAACACTTATTTAGCATTAAGATATGTTGCACTTATAGTAACTTTTATCCTCAAAATTTCATTCGAATCGCTAAAAGTATTTCGAGGAAAATTATAATAATTAAAAAAAATGGGGGGGGGAAGACTTTAAGCACCTGTAGCTACGAAACGAAGGAGAATCTGGCCTATGTTATAAAAAAATAAATCTTATCTTTTTTACATCAAGAACCTACCCACGAGAGATGGCACATATTTTTTGAAACACCCTGTATAAAAATTGGAAATGCTTCGATTTTTCAAACTTTTTAGCTATTTATTATATTGCTTACACGCCAATTAACAGAAACACCTTTAACCACAATCAAAGCCACGATATCTACTAGAAATATGATTGGAAAACAGATGTTCGCCGAACTTGTACTGACTTGTAATCAGAGCTGCAACATGTCAGTTTTAAAAAGACTTAAGTCTTAAATCATTTCTAAAATCAAAATGATTTAAGTCTTAAGTCAATTTCAATATAAAGTTCTAATGACTTAAGTTTTAAGTAACTTTGACTTTTTTTTAAGTCATTTTCTTTCAAGTCAAGTCATTTTTGTAAAGACTTAAATCAATATAACATTATTTAAGTCTTTTTTTACTTAAATCATGATAATCTGCAAGTTAAGTCAGTATAATTACTTAAATAAATATAATTTCCCTCAAATCAAGACAACCAGAATTCAATTTAAATACCTACTTTTTAAATGTTAATATTAATTTTATTGTATTACCCATTAAACCGATTTTTTTATTATCTGTATTAATTTATTATAGGTAGGGGAAGGTGGGGCGGAACGGGGTAGCGGGGTAGAACGGGGTACGCCATTAAAAAACCGAACCTCTAAACGAAAATATCCGAAATTGCACTGAAGGTCGCCTAAAAGCATGGGTCGCATGTTAGGTACGCCAGTAGTCCGAAAACCATCGAGCAAGAGGTTAGTCTCGTTATCATCTGGAATTTTCGTGTAGATTTATAACTTTGGCGTCCATATTAACCACCGTAAGTAATTTGCTTATTAAATTTTAATCTATTTCAGTTATGTAATGCAGAGAACGATTGTTTAGCAACTTTTTTATCACTTTAGATTTACTCTAGGTCATGTTTTTCTTTCAAAAATTTTACTTTAAAGTAAACGTTGCACATGGGGCAGAATGGGGTGGGGTACAATGGGGTACCCTGTTCTGCCCCGTTAAATGTCGTACTTAATTTAATATTTTTTCAGATGGTTAGAAATTATGTTCGGAAGACAAAGCGTCAGGAATGGTGTACCGAATCCATGAACGCAGCAGTTGATGTCGTTGTTAGTGGACAAATGGGGTATAGGAGGGCCGCAGAACAACATGGTGTGCCCCAAACAACTTTAGAAAGATATGTCGCGAAAAAGAAAGGATCAACAAAACTTTGTTGTTGATAAATCTGTTGGAAAATTTCGCAGCGTTTTTCACAAGAACAGGAGATAGAACTTGTCGACTATTTAAAATCTATGGAATCAAGACTTTTTGGCTTAACCATGATGGACTTTAGACGTCTGGCTTTTCAATTAGCTATACGAAATCAGTGTCAACATAAATTTAATGCTGCATCTGAAATGGCTGGCAAGGATTGGATGCAGTGTTTTTAAAACGCCACCCTACTTTGACGCTGCGAAAACCAGAATCAACTTCTGGAGCTCGAGCTATGGGATTTAATAAGGTTACGGTAGCACAATTTTTCCACCTTCTTTTGGAAACAGTAGACAAATATAAGCTAGCTGGTGAACGCATTTATAACTGTGACGAAACGGGGTTGACTGTGAATCCAAAGGGCCATACCAAAATCTTAGCCTTGAAAGGAAAGCGTCAGGTTGGCACCCCTAACTTCCGCCGAACGAGGAGAAACCATAACTGCTGAAATCTGTTTTTCTGCTGCTGGAGCATACATGCCATCTATGCTTATTTTTCCAAGAAAACGGAAGCAACAGTCATTTGAGTTAGGCTTGCCACCTGGTTCAGTAGTAGAAGTTAGTGATTCTGGATGGATAACCTCTGAACTTTTTTAAATTGGTTTAAGCTATTTGTTACGTTTTCTAAAGCAACAAAAGAAAATCCAGTGCTTCTTTTGTTAGATGGACATGCAACCCATACCAAAAATATTGACCTAATTTTGCATGCACGTGAGAACGGTGTAATATTATTATGCTTTCCACCACACACAAGTCATAGACTGCAACCGTTGGACGTTTCCTTCATGAAGCCGTTAAGTACATTTTATGAACATGAAACTCGGATATGGCTGCGTTGCAATCCAGGAAAGGTAATAACCATTCTTCAAATTTCCACGCTTTTTGGTAGTGCCTTTTTAAACGCAGCCACCATGAAAACGGCGATAAACGGATTTCGCAAAACTGGGATTTTTCCACCCGATGAAAACGTTTTTACCGAAGTTGATTTTTTACCAGCTGCTACCACGGATATTACAAACAATACCCCTCCATCAGCCAATGATCCTTCTACTGCACCAAGAGCTCATACGCCAACGGAACCTTCAATTTCAATAACACCTCCCGCTACAAAAATATCTAATCTAAGAAAATCAACTAAATCTCCTCTAACTGTATCAGCAAGTGACATTTTAAATCCCCTACCAGGTTGCTCTTTATGGAAAGCGCCAAACGAATTTGCTGCCTCCGGTGTCAACAAAAAATCTTCTTTTCCCTGCTTGTCGCCAGAAGTTGCTTTACCTATTCCAAAAATCCAGCAAACAGTTAAGAGAGCTAATCGCAAGAGAGGTAAAACTGCAATATTGACCTCGACTCCGTATAAGGAAGAACTAGAGGCAGCAGCAGCTGCAAAAAAGGTTTCGCAAAAGATGAAAGAAGGCGTTAAAAGAAAAATTATTGGCAAAGAGAATAAGAGTAAAGCAAGTAACATTAAGAAAGTGAAGCGAAACCCTTCAAAGAAAGTGTCGATTAAAAAGGTAGATTCTGACTCATCTTCAGATGAAACTAGTGACGTAGAATGTCTTTACTGTTGTGAATACTGGTCCAAGTCTGTTGAAGGATGGATTGCCTGTTCAGCGTGTCACAAATGGGCACACAATGCCTGTGCCGGCGTTGATAGCGAAGACGACGAATTTGTGCTTGTTTGTGAACAGTGTCAATCCTAAGTGGATTTTTGTCTGATTTTGTCCAATGGTTTTACCTATTTTAATAAAAAAATTATAATAAAATTGTGTGTACTTAATATTACTACCATTTTTCACCATTAACGCTATATTTCAGAGGAAATCTAACCACATATTAATGAGATCTGGTAAAATATATAAAAACCTCATCCTGCCCCGCCCCTGGGGCGGAATGGGGCAAAATGCACCTTTTTGGTTTCTCATAATAATTTTCTTTAAAATATTTGTTTAACTGTTAAAAAAGGTGAGAGGCTTAATTTACAATATTTAGAAATACAACGATGCAAAAATATTTTTTTTTTGGTTAATATTGGGGTGACAGTTAACCATCAAACGTTAAGTACCCCGTTCTGCCCCGCCTTCCCCTACAGATTAGAATAAAATATTATATAAACAACTATAATAAACAATAAAAAAATAAACGCATCAAAGACATTAAAACACACATATAAAAACATCAACAACTTAAATAAAAATAAATTTTGTAGTACTTTGAACAGGTTGTCCCATTTTTGTGTGTTTTACAGGGTTTCCCGTTTATGAGCAGCGGTACAAATATACGGTTTTCACAGTTGCTATTTTTTTATGAAACTGAAGATGGTAAACACATATATTATATTTGATGCCGCTGTTAAAAGTTTACGTAAAAATATATGAAAAAAAGGACTTAAATCTTTTCCAAAAAGATTTAAATCTCATAAAAGACTTAAACCTTTTAAAAGATTTAAGTCATTAAAAAAAATTGAATATTTTCTAAAAAGACTCAAATCTTTTAAAAAGACTGAAATCTTTATCTATTTCGGAATAAAGACTTTAAATCATAAGTCTTTTTTGAAAATGACTTAAATTTTAAGTCTTAAGTCAGCTTTCGAAATATGACTTAAAATCAAATGATTTAAGTCATTAAAATGATTTAAGTCAAAAAAAGACTTAAGTTTCGTGTGAGCTTGCAGCTCTGCTTGTAATGGAACAATCAAAGAGATTTGCTAAAAGACCGACAGTCGAGTGGAGCACCGTTGTTGTTCGCGAACCGCTCGTTTTGTAACACGTTACATTACAATTACAACGCTCAGATAAAGTAAATCTCCTACTTTATAAATAGTGTACTAAAAGAGAACATTCCCATTAATGACAAGGGAATGTTGAACACAAACGAGTTTGTATAAGAACAAACGAGAACGTTACCCATGTACATTTTTGAATTGAAACTTCTTTACGCGCGCCGGGTGTAAAAATTGAAGGTCGTGACACGGCCATGAGACACGAGACGCGAGAGGAAAAGTGGTAACGATCTTGGAGAGTCGTAACTCGGACCCTCTGTTTCCTGGGGGCTGGAACTCTGAATGTAGATGGGACTCAAAGAGCTCCATCGATTCATGATGTTTTGAAGACGTTTCGTGCACTATGAAACCCCATCATCAATGACGAAAAAATCGTACAATTTAATGTGGGTCTTTGGAGCGTCGCACAGTGGGATATTTGACACCGATAGTTGATCGAAATTTTTTTTATGTAGACCTTATATAAATTATTGATATTTTCAATTAAAGAGGAAATAATATGAACAAAATAAAGGATAATTCGTCGATTCTAAAAAAAAGGAAGAAAAATCACTGTTCCAGTGTTTCCACGATCAATGCCACTAATACCAGTAGTAATATCGCAACTAATACTACTAATGCTACGACTGATCCGCGACCAATGCCCATACCACTAAAGCCGCTACTAATGCCAAATTGTGCTATACTGCTAATGGGACTAATGCGATCGCTTTGTACACAATAATGCCATCGCGGTTTACACCTCGCATTAGTATATCACTGATTTGCAAATTAGAGGAAACCAAGAATGTTTTTCTTATTTTATCAGCAAAGTCGCAAAAAGTCGCAGTATTTTATTTTACTGTATGAAAGCCCAATGTTTACTAAGTAAAAAACGTATACAGAGAAGATCACGCTACTAGTAACATAGCAAGTTGCCGGACGAATTTACGTTTACCCAATTTGCGTTCGTACTCGAGATTCACTGCCGGTTAGTCGGCTAGTCAGGCAGTACGAAGTTGCAGTTGTGCTTGGACGGTCGAGACAGACTAGGAATACGACGCGAGGAGTGCCGAGTATTTATTATTTTCATTTTAAGTGTTTACCTTCACTTAAGGTAACATTTAAAATAAAAATACTTAAATCTTTATTATTTGAGTGTATTTACAAGCCAAAACTAAAAATAAATAAATTCTCTAAACCCAAAAAGAACTAAAATATTACTCTAAATAAAAAAAAGTTATAACAAGTGTTGAAAAAGACCACCTTCTTGTGCTAGACAGAAGCCTAGGCGGTCGTAAAATCCCCGTCTGACATTGGCTAACATATTAGGGCTAATAGTTTGGAAAGTCTCTCGTATTTTTACTTGAAGCTCATCCAGATTATTAGCCCTATTATGACCACACACTTTGGGTTTTACATAACCCCACAAAAAGAAATCATTGGGAGAAAGATCTGGTGATCTAGCGGATCACAAAATAGTTCCATGTCCACTAATTAAACGGTTAAACACTTGCTTTAACTCTTTATGTTCTTCATTAATCAACACATCAACATTGTGTTTTTGTGGGGACACGCACCCATGTGTTTCAAAATTATTAATAACTCTTGATATAGTAGGTAAAGATAGAATTGGCCTGTTTACAAAAGTTTGTCGAAAAATTGTTTGTATATCCCGAGAAGACCTATTTTGGAAATACCATTTTACAATTTGAATTTTCTCACGAACTTCGTAAACATCCATTATTTTACTTAAAAAATAAATTTTACACGAGAACTGTCGCGAGAATCTATGTATTCGTTTTGGCTATTAAAACACGAATAAATTCAAATTATGAAACATTCTTATCACATATCTACCTATTTTTATTTTATGGCATTTTTTCGCCTGCTTTTTATCCGGCGGACAGGTATACGCTAATTCGTCCGGTTCTGCCTATGTTACTACTACGGTGGTTCGGTCTGTATAGACAATATGCTGAATTCTTCGAAGTGCGCAACTAAATATCTAAGTATAATAAAAATGTCACAAATTTAATCAAATTTTCTGAACGCCTAACTTTTAGTTGCAAAAAAAATCGTTAGTATAGAGAATATCAAAATAAATACTGTTTTTGTAGAATACATACCTGAGCTTGCTGAGCCATTTTCAATCAAAACAATAATATAAACGTAAAAGGAGCACAAGAACAACAACAATTTATAATTTTAAACATAAAATTTAGCCTTTTACCTCTTATCTGTGAGAAGTAACAACTTTGACGTTTCGCTGAAACAGATGAATGCAACTAAACACACCCATAGCAACGCCATTCATTGCAGACATGATTTAACTTATCATTTATCTTTTTTTGGTAAATCTTAAACACATTTGCTTTTTGGAATTTCGATCACCTTTTTCATGCTAATACTCCACCGTGCGTCGTAACTCGGGTCCTATGTAAGCTAAGGGGCTGAAACTCAGAATGTAGATGGGGCTCGAAGAACTATGAAACCTGAAATCGTGCACTATGAAACCCCATCGTCAATGACAAAAAAATCATCCGATTTAAATAAAATTTAGTATGTCGATAGATAGGTCCAAGGCGAACTTGACCGTGTACAATACGTGTCACTGTGACAGTTAGTTTTGATGTAAGAAACGTCAAAAGTTGATGTCGTCCGATCGCGACCAAATTTGGTGGGTAGACTATATGAGCGGCGGTGCACACGGTCCCACCCTACAACGTTGGATACGACGTTTCGTTTACATCTCCACAGGGTGGGACTAAGGATTTCATATTGAAGAAAAGTGTGGGTCGATTTCGACATAATTGGTGACGGGCTACAGACTGACGCCCTCGACGTTTCAAACCGATGCCTCTAAATGGACGAAATCATCAGGATTCTTATTAATTATGGGTCAATACACGGGGTACGCATAATTAACGATAAGTGTGTTGGAATATAAAAATTGAGTTAGCGCTCATCAATAAAATATAAAATCTTATGCGAGGCATTACCTACATACGATTTTATATTTTATTCATCATATTTATATTAATGGTTGGTTTAGACATCTTTTGTTGATCTCGTAAACAAAAAATATGTTCAAAATTATAACCAGTGGACAAAAGTAGAACTAGCTTTCATTTTCACTGAAAGTATGAATATACTAATCAGTTTCATTGAAAACGTGTTCTTGCGTTCATTATTTGAACTGAAGCAGTCAGACTGCGCTAGTGATGAGTGAGAATAATAGGTGAGAACACGTCTTTATATGCTGAAATAAATTCAATCTGTATACTAGAGAATCCCTATCATCCCTATAAAATTTGACCACAATACCGGGTGCGTCTCAAAAGTGGCTAACCCCTATGCCTTAATTATTTTTTCAGATAAAAAAATGAGATTTGGTATGCTAGTATATGACATAAATTAGAATTGATTGACGTATTCCATTGTTTTTGGTCACTTCCTGTTTCACCGGAAATGACTAAAACTTTTGATTTTTAAATGGCACCGTCGCATCGGTATATCTCTACTTTATTTTGACACTTTCGCTTAAAAAAATCGTATTTTAAATTACAATCTAAAGTGCCGTGGCTGTGTTAAAAGCACTAATTTTTAATCAAGGAGCATTGGAAAAACAGTTTTAATAGACTAATATTTTTCGTGTCTTGTCCTGGCTGGTTAAAAGATGTTTAAATCGTATTTTTAGTCATATCTCAAGTGTGGCTCATTAGCATATTTGTAAAAAGCATTTTTTAGAAATAATTTGGTACTTGGTATTGATATTTCGAGTCAAATTGTCGTTATAAACCGCATGTTAAATTTCAAATAAACCATATACGGAAATGTCAAAAGTTGACATATGATATGTCATTCTATTCAGAGTGCCATTTTCTATTGAATAAAGTAGAAATATACCAAGGGTGTCATTTAAAAATCAAAAGTTGTACTCATTTCCGGTGAAACAGGAAGTGACCAAAAACAATTAAATACGTCAATCAATCCTAATTTATGTCATATACTAACATACCAAATTTCGTTTTTTTATCTGAAAAAATAAAAAAGTTATAGGTGTGAGCCACTTTTGAGACGCACCCGGTATAACCTTGAGAAAAAAATACTTACGAACTATACCAATATGTTCCTGAATGTCTCTGTGCACGTCTGATATATCCCACATTGCCAAAAACGCACTGCAACATGATTGTTGTCTAGTGCCTGGCCTTACGTATGGTTGGAATGAAAAACTGTAATGATGTGCTATAGCGGCCAAACACATCTCAATGCAGATGAGAAAATCCTGAAAAAGTATGTATATTATAGAAAGATATTATGGTGAACCATCAGTGAAACATGGAGAAATCTCGAACGTACGAGCACCTTCTCTCAATAGAAAAAATACGACAACCTGTGTAAAAAGGAGGCAGAGTTACTTAAGTATCGCGATTGCTAGTTACGCGCGGTCAGGAAGATTTAAATACATCCGACCGCAAGTAATTGTACAGATAAATACCGTATGATCGAATAAAAACGGCCTTAGCGATGGCTATGAAATGAAGATCGCTGTCATTTTATATGTAAAATTATATGGGAAATGTCATCGATCGTCATTTCATAGCTATCGCCGACGCCGTTTTTATTTGATCATACAGTATTAGTTTTAGTTCTTTAAGTATTATTTCTTGCAAATAAATTTCACTAATTTAATCTGACTTTAAATTATCCATACGAAATCCACGAAAAACATATATAACACTATCAATACTCTGAATACAAACAGTTGGAAAATAAGACCTAATATATTAACTTACTTGAAGTCTAGTGGATAAAGACAATCCATCTGCATCTGGTTCTGATGAACTAATAGCACCAGTGTAAACAAGGAATGCAATAACAACTCCTTGGCTGGAAAGCAACATTTTTGTTATTTTTCTTAATTTAGTTTATTATTTCTTATTTAATAATATAATATGTGAGCAAATGTTGCTTATTTTTATATACTATAGCGTAAGGCTGCATTTCAGTCGATTTCAAAAAATTCCGACCGCGGCGTTGTGTATGGCAGAAATCAGAAATTTTCGCTATGTATTTCACGCCGTCCCGGTTACAGTTCATGTTAATCGCATTAAAATAATATTATTAATTCGTGGCTTTGTCATAATATCTAAATAATTTAGTTTTTTGCTAGGACAGTCATTGAGGCTAGGGAATGCAATCCCGCACTAAAATGTCAATTCCGCAACCCCAAAATTGCGGGATTGTAAACAATACTCATTTATTGGGTCCTAAATGGTACAAAAGGCATTGTACATTTTGCATAGACCCACAATATATTGATATAGCGTGTATCTTAAACTAGATGTACAGAAATTTGGACACCGAGGTATACAGGGCGTTCAAAAATATATTTAATATTAAATAAACTTAAATTTTATTATAATTTATCTACTTATTTTATAAATAAAAATATTATTCTAATTGAAGTTTTTTTAACTTGTGGTAGTTATCTGCTTTTAGATACACTCTATATCAATAATTGTTTGGCATATGCAGAATGTACAAAGCTTTTTGTACCATTTAGGGCCATACGTGTGACTAAAAATGCATATTTTTCGAAAAAACTTAACTATTTTCCTTAAAACAAAACAAAAAATAAAACACCGATCAAATTGTTTTTTCTAATTTCAATACAGATTCGTCGTACTTGGTAAAAATTTCGATTTTTTAAAAATTGTAAATTTGCGGTAAAAAAGATTCTTGATCAAATTTTCACACTCTTATAAAACACCTTGTATACGAGAATTCGCTAAATATATTTTCGAAAAAAACCACATCAGCATCTTAATCCCAATAGATTCATCTAAAACCTGGTACAAACCGCATCCTAAAATCTTTTTTAGTTCAAGAGATATTCAACTTTAAATTTAACCTAAAATTTTGCTGGTCCCAATAATTATGTCCGGCAATTTATTTGACGAAATTGTCCACAAGTACTAGTTAAACGCTTTTCTTCACTTACGCACATACGCCAGAAAGAAATCTAACAACTAGCCTGTTTGTTTCACTTATTTTTAATGGCCAAGCCGTAAGGGGAATCCCCCGGGTTCCGAGCATCGACGCATCGGCCCAGAACGAAGCGGTCTGATCTTAATCGAGATCGATTCAGTTACCCAGTAGTAATGTTTGGTAATGTGTTGATCCCGCGGATCCCGCACGGTAAATCCCGCAACTTTGATCCCGCGGAATCTTAGAGGGATCCCGCATTTGCGGGATTGCATTCCCTAATTGAGGCTATAAAACACTCAGGTACGAGGTTTGTGTGATGTAACGCTGTTTCGGGTAGTAAAAAACAAGTGACAAAGAATTCGAACTAGGCGTCGTGTTGTGTTGTGACAATTTCAAATGTTAATAAAATTGCCGAAAAAATGTTAACGCGTAAAGGAGAGTGTAATTAGGACGTTGTTGGGTGCAATAACATTCAATAACTCAACTTTCCCGCATATTCAACTCTCCCGAAACAACATTTTATAGCTTCATAGTTTCTCACACCGATTTGATTAAAAGCAAAAATGGATTCAAGCAGTTCGACGAAACAAGTGAGTTATTATTATTATTATTATTAATGGTATACTTTTTATCAACTAGTGATTAAATGTTTTATGAACATTTTCTAAAATTATAATTATGTACCTTTAAAAAAAATCGTTATAGCCGAAATAGCCCCAATTACCACCCCACTAGCAAAACCGGTGATTAAAACTATGCTCGCTATCGTAGTTGAACTCATCTAAAAAGTTTTTTTTTAGATGAGTTCGGTTTACAGTGTGGAAACTGTCTATAAAATCTATCTACACACTGCTCATTCACGCCAGATGAGATCGAATATCTCGTGAGTAAGAGTGGATTTATACATTCGCCAAGTCGGTAGGCCATTGACAATTAAACAAAGTAGACCCCGTCCAGATTAGACTTAGCAGCGAAAAGGAGACGTTAACTTAAAATACTTTACTTTTACTTTTATGTTCGCAGATGTTGCTGCGCACTAACAAGCGCACAGCGCTGCTTGGCGCGACTAGCCTGGACGCTCCTTTAGAAGTACATACCAATCAATTATCAAAATCATTTAAGAGTATTAACTACGTTTTTATTCTTGTATTTATTCATCTATTTACTAGTTGAGAAAAATAATAATTATTATTCAATTACTAAGACCTTAAGTGAATTTTAATTAGCTGTTTCAATAGCATATCTGCATTTTTGTTTGATTAAATAATTATACTAACTTATCAGAAGGGCGGGGAAAAACAACAATGTCCATTTTATAGAAGTAAAAATTCAGTTTTGTGATATTGTCTGTTTTTTCCTTACCCTTCATTTATTTTTATAAGAAATAGGTATATTTTGTAATAAGTTTAATAACTATTATTAACATTAATTATTGGCACAATGGCACCTTGTTGCAAATACTTACAAAAATGAAAAGAATACTACTGCTTTTATACATAGAAATTTTGGTAGTGGCTTCATTGGTTGAAGTTCAGCTAAGCTGGCTTTATAAAACATAACTAAACAATACATTGCAATAAATTGAGATATATTGTTTACAGTTATCAAATAGGGAAATGCTACATTGCCCTTAAACTGTCCATCACCATATACATCAAAAACTTTGCATATACTAGAACAGATCAATCTCTTTAAATTATCTGAAATTTTTTATTTAAGAACGGCTTTTACTTACAATGATATAACTGTAGTTAGTGGCCTGATCACTGTATATTGAAGAATTCCATGCTTACAAATATGGACAAACTCCCTAAAATTGTAACAAATAAAATGTAAAAAAAATATTTGTTATTATGAATCATATACTTGTTTACCTTCCCATTTCCCAATCTGGCAAACAACATAATGGAAAAAAATGCTTTACTTGTGGTTTTAATTCTAAATTAGCTTCCAAATCCATTTCGTTGTTTAAATAATTAAGTAAGAATTTCATAAAATTATATATCACATATGCTTCGTAACATTCTCTTACACTATCAACATACACTGAAGCTTTTGGGTATGTGAGGCCTAACCACTAAAATGGTATTATCGTCAATAACGTTATTGATAAAAAAGTAATCAAAAACTCACAGCATTACCAGCATAAATGGGAACCATCCATAAAATCCTATGGAAAGAAAATTGTATTCATAAAAAATTGGTATGTATTTAAAACCAACTTACCTGATAATATGTTTTTGGAGTTTGGGTTGATTATAATGTATCACATGTTGAATTATTTCCCAAAGTGAAATTGGTATTGCAACACCAACAAATATTCCTCCTATTAAAACTTCTTGGTCGTGTCGATTAAAACCATCTTCAAGAGATTTTACAAGAAAAAGGGGAACAAAAACTAAAGCCGCTAATGCATAAGTGGCTATAAATAAAGGCCTTATCCATAATTTCCATCTGGAGATAAAGTTCGCACAAGTTTCGTTACACATTTTGAGGAAAACACATCATTGTAGTTTTAAATGAAATAAATAAAATACACAACTTGCCGGCTAAAAACAAATTGAACGAGCTGAATTTCGCAATCCAAAATTTTAAACTAGAAAATAATGACAAAGAACCAAGAAGAGAGGAGTTTCAACAAAATTGTGTGTATTTTCCAAGAATTCCAAGTTTTTATTGTCAATTGTTGTCACAGTTGTCAATAAAACAGCTGATAAAATTGACAGTTAAAAAATAATGATCATAGGCAACCACAAAAACAAGCCTTAAAAAAGTATAGAAGGGGGTAGAAATAGAAAATGGACCAATAGAAAACTACAGTAGAAAACGAGATTAGTAGTGCCACCTATTGGTGTTTTTCTCAATCCCTCTTCCCATCCTATGTTCCGGATATCGTTGAAAGGTGTCGTTAAAATCAATTTTTTTTTAATTTTTATACATAATCTAGGCATAAATTAATCTAGATTTTTAGCTGTTTTTAGTATCAGGGTATCATAAAGGATTACAAAGACAGGAATGCTATAAAACGCTTTTCAGTAATTTTCAAAAGTATATGATTTTAACGCAAGAACATTTATTTCTAATATTGGTATCACTGAAAATGTGACAAGTCATCAGATGATGTACGTTTGTGTCAAAGATTTTGACGTATTTTTTCTAATGGAATTTACTGATAAAAAAGTATAAATTATGAAAGATATTGTGCATCTAAAGTTTTATCTCCTGAATAATTTATCTGAATTAATGTGCATATGATATGACTTTACAATATAATTTTTAGTTTTATGGGTCATTAAATAGTTAGCATTAATTTGTTCTATTTGTGTATGAATATTGACTATTAAACATGTCCCTTACCATTCAGCAGATTATTACTGACGCAAAAAGACTTGCTGGTCGCTTAAAAGAAAGGGATTCTGTTGCAAATTTTTTACTTTCCGAAACTCATGCAATAAATAAGAAGATTGATGCAATGAAACAGGTAATTCTCATAATGAAAATAGGAAAAAATGCACCATATTTATTTACTTTATGTTCAAGTTTCAAGAGGAAGTAGAACAATTAAATGAGGTAGCTAATCAGAAGCCTCACTCACAACTTATTGCAAATATTCAAAAGGAAAATAGACATTTGCGGGAAATTCAACAGGAGAATCGAGAATTAAAGTTAGCTCTTGAAGATTATCAAAGTACTCTCGAGCATATAATGACAAAATATAGAGAACATACACAAGACGAGATATATAAGTCTAGAATTGATTTTAAGGTAGTTATATAGGGGATCTTAGGTATTTTGAATTATATTCGTTGTTAACAGGGTGTTCAAGATCAAAGATATCAATACATAATTCAACAGCAAGCAGAAAAAATACAGGAAATGGCTGCGATAATGGAGAAAGCAGCTATACTTGATGAAGATAGAGACTTCAAATTAGAGGAAGTTATAGCAAGACTTAAAACTGAAAATCAGGTAGCTTTATGACAGTTCTTTTTGATTATTAGGTATTTAAATTTATTAAAATATGTTATTATGTGGAATTCCAATTTTAGGGTTTAAGATCATTACTTAAAATATCCCAAAACATAAACCTGAACACAGAAGATAAAAATATTCAAACTGAAAATTTATAATCTCACGTGACACATCTGTATTTAAATGTATAAATTTTTATTATGTACAATTTATTTTTATATTAGTTAATTCACTGTGTATTATTAATATTTGTTATAATTTTGATATAGGTTTAACTATTATAAATTTGATTCACAAAATATGTATTGCAATAAAAGACTAATTTTTTTAATATACTATATTATTTAAAAAAAAACTTAGATAATAAGTATGTTACTGTTACATTCTTGATGTAGTATATTCTATAGGAAATTGGAAGGAATGTGATCCAGAACCAAAAATATTTGGTAGAAGTCCTGCATTTGGTATGATATTCCAGGATAAAGTGAGTGTTATATTTTTATTTCCCCTAAAAATGATTTAAAGATATACTTTTTGTTTTGTTAAAATTTATGCAGTATAGTGGAGGTAGAAAATTTAAATAATAATTTTGATTTAAAATATTTACATATTTACTAAGAAGCAAATAAATTACATTACTATTTAACTTACTTCAAACCATTTCCATCATCCCAGAAATAATATTTTGTATTCATATTTTTAAAATCTAGTACAGCATTTTCTCCTCGCAAAATAATTTTATCCCAAAGGACTACCTAAAAATTTAAAGTTTAATTGATACTTGTTTGCATTTAACACTTAATATACAAATAAGAATTCTATGGATATTCATAAATTAAATTACTTCTTATATTACTAAGTTGAACTTACCTGATTGAGTTCATTATTAGGAGTTTTATATTCAGCTGTTAGATACAAGAAAAGCTGTTTGACATTCCAATTAAATAAACTACTCAAGTCGGATTTGAGATCAAATGTTAAGAAACCCAGATCGTTTTTTTCCCTTGAGGCACTATAATCCGGTACATTTTTCCTATAAAAAGAACTTAAATTAATAAATAAAAGTACAAAGCTCTCAATAAACTTACACTAAAACTTTAACAGCTTTTAAGTTAGTTCCTGTAGAGTAATTGAGAAAAACTGTTGAGACAAAACAGCAAAACGTTAGAAAAGCTAAAAAACTAAGCGTATAAGCTAATATTGAATTGCCCCTTTGTAATACAGAATGCATATTAAATTATTTAAAAACTTTTTTCCAATCGACACGTCAATAATATTCGGAAAAGAAAGTTAGGTTAATTAATTTGATTGAAAAAAAGGCAGGTTTACCAATAGACTTTTTTAATCAGCTCATAGAGTGTGGCCAATAGTAAAATAACATAATCTAAAGGACATAACTATTAAAAATGTAGATTTATAAATAAACAAATACATTTTATATAGAGAAATCTGATAATTCTAGATTCATAGAAAATGGGCAACCGAAAATGTTATTTATATATTATTTCTTACAACAAAATCCAGGACAAAAAAAATGTATGTAGAAGTTACAGATTTCTTCATTATTGAGTTTCCTCACAGACGTCCGATGACGCTAAACGCCGCAAAGAAAAATTATTGAATGTGGCGTTCGTTAAAATTCGGGCACCCTATCTTCAATATGATTGGTTACGAAGAAAGCCGATTAGGTCAATGTCTGAGTTTCCAAAAATTACTGGGAAGGTGAAGCCTTGATCCAAGTTGGAAAAATGGTTTAATGAGAAAATTAATAAAGTAAAAATGAAGTGTTTGTGGCCCGTGTTAGCGTAGAACTGTTAGCGACTCGGTAACAATTTGGTGATATTGGTAAAGACTATCTGAAGGCGGAAAATCCTCGTCGAAGTAAGGGCGAAGGAAATGTGATTAGTGTGGGGATCGCAAGAACTTAAAGTGTAAAGAAGAATGAGCGGGCGCCCGAGAACTACGTCCTTTGCCGAGGGTAACAAGCAGCCGTTGAATCCTCCTTTGGGGGGCATGAAAATTAGCAGTAAGTACCAGCACATTACGTCGTCTTGTCTCCTAGTGCGCACCAATATGGCCGCTATGGCCTACTGTCAAAATCCCCCTACAATTGTTTCATTTGGTGAACTTGCTAAAAAGATTATTACATTTCGAAAAAATACATTAATCAAAATGGCCATGAAATTTTCTATTTAAATGGCCAATTCAAGATGCATAGCCAATCAGAAATCAACCTAATAATGAATAGTTCCAGTACTGGACCTATCATGTTCTCAGCATTTCAAAAAAAAATCATTTGCAGGAATGGAACAAGTACATTTATACTATTTTTACTTTCTATATAAACTTGCCTAATTCAATTGCATATCCCTACATGAAAATTAGAGATGATTGCATATTCACAGTTTAAATACCTATTTCAGTTGGTTTCTTAATGAAGTAGGTATAGTACCTATAAAGATATTTAATATTAGTTCTAAAGTACCCACATCTTTAATGATTTTGATTAGGTATATTGAAAGTAATGAAGGCAAGTAATTTAATTGTTTTATTAGTTCATTGACGTTTATTGATTTGCCTGCAAACACCTGCTTACAAATTTTTGCAGTCCATTTTAAAGCACCGAATATGTTTTTATAATTCAATTTTGTAATTGATAGCTGATAAAACAATTATTGCCATGAATTTACTTAAAATATCTGTAGTACAATAGCTGTAGGTACCTACATGACATTTGTTGTATTGTTTGAACGATGTGTTTCACTATATTACTTATTACTTTGCAGCAGCACCTAAACTGAGATTATCTTAATTAGATGATATCTGACCTCTAAAATAAAGTGTCTCTATCTAACCTTCTATCTCTGTTCTTACATCTCACCTTTCACACAATTTTTTTAGTAGTTGTTGTTCAACCTTTGACTGAACTATTGGTGTTGATTATATTTTCCTAAATGTATCTAGTTAGTGAATACGTTTAATTTTTTAAACTGTTAAAATGTTTGAATCAGAATTTGATAAAGGACTTGCAGTGAGTGATCTGTATTCGGCTTTAAATAATCTAACATATTCTGAGGACAGTCATGATAAACCGGATTCAAGAAAACCGAAAAAGTGTGGTTTTAAATATGGACTATTATCATCATTTAAGGATCTCGAAAGTAAGAAAATATTACCACCGGATTTGGAATGTGGATTACACAAAACTGAGTGTACTGTCAGTAGTAATAAAGAATCAAAAACATTTTATGAGGATTCTGGACAAAATAAACATCTAGATATTAGTGAAGTGCTTTTAAAATGGACCAGACACATTGGCAGAAAGTTTGATTGTTCTGGTAATTACTTAGTTTAAAATAGGTATCTAGTTAGATGAATTTTCGATATTCTTTTGGTCTACTTAGTATATATTTATTTAATTAAACATGCAACACTCAATTTCTATTCTCAAATACCATATGATCCAAAAAAAACCGTGTCAAAGACGGCTGTGAAATGGCAATGATAGTTTTGGCCAGGTCAACCTCTAGATGTAATTTACGTGGCCCATCTTCTTTATTTTTTAATATTACTTACTTAAAACGCTTACTGCCTTGTTGTGTTTTATTTTTATATTGAGTAAAAATGAATTTTTAAATGGTGTGGTTTAATATTTGGGAATTTTTTTTGTATATAGAGTTGTGTGTCTGGAAACGTTAGTAAATGACGTCTATAGATTGACCTCGCTAAAATGGTCGTTGATTGTTATCTCTTTGACAAATTACAAATTTAGAAGTAAATTTGAAGTTGAATTCCAATTTAAAAAATGTGTTCTATATATTTTTCAGGAATGCTAAATATTTCAAAACCATACATCATTTTTAAGAAAAACTTCTTTAATGAAAATGAAACTGGCCTACTTAATTTTCTTTCTATAAGCCGAAAACCATTTAATATACAGAGTTTCAGATAGCCTAAAAATGTTTACAATGTGATTTCACATTATGTTTCGAAGAAAAAAGCTTGGAAAAAAGTTTATATGAACATGCGATCTGAAGTACCTACTTCATTTTTGATGGACAGTGTGTTAAAAACGAGGTTAAAAATAAAAAAAATCGAATTTAATCGGCTTGAAATGAACGGTAGCTAGGTATGCCACAGCTTTTTTTCGAGAAAACAATTTCTTTTTCTTGATTGTCAATATTTTTGATCTGAACTAAATTGATCTATTTAGTTTTACTTGTATATTAAACGGTTTTCCAGAATGAAAATTAAATAATTATTAAAGAGCCCACCTCAATATTCTTGTAACTGCTCGTTTTCTAGCGATTTTAAGATATGAAATGTAGTGGATTTAATTTTTTTTTCGGAAACTGTTCAGTGTACAAGAAGAGCTCAAGAGATCAATCTTGTTAAAAAGGGGTGGGCAATCAAGAAAAAAATAGTTTTCTCAAAAGAAGCACTGGCTCACCATTTATTTTATTCAAATACCAGGGGTGCAAATAAACCACTGGTTCAAGTAGGAAAACAAGAGTTAGGTAATGAAAATGACTCCCTTTATACCTGGAGACCACTTACCAAAATTGAAGAAAACATCTAAAGAGCCCCATTCAAGTTGAGATCGGTATCGATACATGTTGCAAGTATCAGTATCTTGACACAAATCTCATAGTGTATTTGTCTGTCTCAGTATCGCCTTATCGGTATCGGATGGTATCGCCGTATGTATCAATGTAGTGAAACTTCGATACCAAACGCATGCAACTGATACTTGTCGCAACGTGTATGTTGATGTTATTATGTATCGCGATACCAAAATATAAACAGTGTCGTTTCCACTCGTTTCCGACATGGAAGATCGTGAGTTTTGGGAGATCTGGTTTGTCGACCCTTAATTCTTGTAGTAAATTTGCCACTGTGTATTTGTTTCTCTAACGTAACCATTTTTTAACCCATATTCTTTTTCGTTAATGTTTTTTTCTTTTTTGAAATGCCTGATAATACAACTGCCAGAGCTACAAGCACCGGCATGGCAGGCAGCACCATTTTGGTTTTCATTTGAACACTGATGTTTCCTGATTCCGTCTCAACGTGTAGGAATCTTTGAAACATGGATACAAATCTTAGATACATGTATTGCATCCTGTCGCGATACACGTATCGATACCGATCTCAACGTGAATGGAACCCTTAAAGTTATTTTCGACACATTGTGAGAAATTCGATTTTTTTTAAATATATAACACCCTGTAGATTAGAAGGGTAGTACTTTAGTCCCCATGTTTATATGAACTTTTTTTCTTAAAAATATATGAGAAATTACACCCTGAAAGTTTTTGACTACTTAGGAAACACCCTGTATAAAGTAATAATAAAAAAATACAAATATATATGACTTTTTTGGGCACCCTGTAGCGTTTATAATAATTTTAGATCCATAGAAATTGTCATTCTCCTTGGAGAATCTCGTACGTAAGGCGCTACCCTGTATATCACACACAATACAGTCAAAAAAATAAGTGAAAGATGAGATGAGGAATGATGAGGAATATGTCTTAAATATAATATACTTACTGACACTGATTTTAGCATTACTCTTATTTATGCATTTATTTTTAAACTAGTTGAAGCCTGGCGCATCCGCCACGACATGAGGAAAAAAAATACTTATTTTTTTTTAATTAAATGAAAAATAAAAAATCCGGCGACGACAATTAAGTATCTTTTAGTAAAAAAAGCAACTTTCTAGAGCAAGTCGTTACTTCAGTAGAGACGACACAGATAAACATTAGCATTTTATATAGGCTGTACTTAAACTGCCGTTAATAGGTATGACGTCGTTGATGTGACGCACTTGATGGCTTTATGAAATATAGAAATTTTATAAGGACTAACCAACGCTATCTACCCCACCAAATAACCAACTTAACCAACGCAACTAACCTCGACACTGGTAAAAAATATAAAAAACAAATATAAATTAGTAAAAATCAACCAACCCCACAATCAAATAACCACCCTCCAAACAACACCCTCCAAATAACCACGCTAACCAACCCGCCAAATAACTAAACCAATCCAACTAAAAAGAGTGAAACCACTGCAATAAGATCAAGCTATAAGCAAAAAAAAATATAAAAAAGTCTTGGTCGGCGTGAGATTTGAACCACGGACCATTCGCTTACGAAGCGATAGCCTCAGCCACTGACCCACAGGTGCTCTTACAGAATGCTTAAGGCCAGGCATTACTTTCCGCCGACATGAACGAAGTCACAATATCTATTATTTCGTTTTATATATGTAGATGTTTTCAAAGGATATTGTTACTTTGTGTCTAGTTATTCCTAGGTTAAATATTGGACTTTTTATAATTGTCTTTATTGACATTATTTTTCACCAGTTTGTACTGTCATTCGTTTGACATTTTATTTCTGTAAAATATTAAATTTCCTGAACTATCCTGACAAAAAAAGCTTCATTTTCCTGAATTTTGAATTGCCTATTAGTACAAAATAATATACCTATTAAGCCAAAAGAGAAATGACAGGAAGAGCTATAAGAGAGAGGCTTAAAAGTAACAACAAGGATGTTTTAGATGACGAATCGGTCGATAAGTATTTAGCTTCGCCCAAAGTTAAGTCAGGTATTTATATTTGCTTGTTTTTATATTTTGATTCATCTGAATTAATGTACCTTTTTTCTTGAGAGATAAAAGGAAGACTTAATAGATTATTCTTTTGCAAGTAGATTTTTAACAATATTAATGTTTTCTTCTTAGTCGTATTCTCATGTCTGAGAAATTGTGATCTCGTGGAATCAGGTACATCCATTAACTCTAGTTTACTATGTTTGTCGGTCTATTGCTTCAGTTAGTAGAGTTTGTAGTGGTGTATTGGCAATTTTCTTGCAAGTCAATTTGTATGACTTATCACATAATAAATACTAAGAGAAACTGAGCCGAACAAAATAATACAAACTTTCACTAGCCATAGCTGTTATAGATTGAGGTTTTCGACTCAATATATCCTAAGGCAATAATAGAAGCCC